AGTAAGACCCTAGAGAGAGTCCACGACATCCATATATGTTGTATGCATGACTTATGTAGTATATATGTGGTTTATATGGTTATGATTATGTGGTTTATGTGGGGTATGTTTGGGGAACTCACTAAGCATTAGCATACAGTTTGTTGTTGTTTTCAGGTACTTCAGAACCTAAGGGCAAGGGCCCGGCATAATGGCACACGCGTGCACTCCCGACATTTTAGTTTGGACACTTTATGTTTGAATAATTTATCTGATGTCATGGATTTTTGAAAAAAAATGTGATTGGAATGCTTTATTATGAAAATGATTTCATACTAAAAAAGAAATTATTGGAATTTGGCTGTTACAGCTCCTCCCATGGTCTTACAATAAATCCGCATATGGATCAGTAGCAAACCATCACATACTCTAAAGATTAACATAAAAATATCTTTAATGGGCCGACCTTGGTGCCTTCGCCCATGAGTGCAGTGAGAAGACTCACCTCAATCTGTTGAATACGATAGCTACATGAATACTATCCCAAATCTCTAACTGTATAAATATACCAATTAACATAATTAGATTTATGAAAATTCAACTAAGGCCCAACATCATAATATTTGGCCCACTAATCAAGCCCAAAAGTCTATCCTACCATAATGGGCCCAAGATCATGTCCAAATTATAATGGGCCATATGGCCCAATCAACTCACCAAAAACCTAATGCAATTCCAAGGCCCAACACCATCCTAACGTCCAGACCCAAGGCTAGGAGTAGTCCAAATGGTCTGCAAAGTCCATCGAGGCCCAACTATCACAGCTGAGCGTACGCCCAATGTTTTAACAGAAGTACGCTAAGCGTACTGGGTTTCTTTGGCTGTACGCGCACCGTACAGGTAGTATGCCCAACGTACAAACAAAATAAGCACATTATCCAATAATGCTTAATGCGTGAAGTCCTTACATTCCAAACTCATTTTAGGTCATTAGAAGAGTCCTAAGGCATAAAGTTGGCAATTTATGCCTTTGCATGCCCCATAAGCTCCCAACAACCCTTTCCAATCCATTAAGACCTTTCCAAGGGTCTTAATTCATGCATGGAGAAAATAACCAACAAGTCTGCATTTTTATGACATGGATGAGCTAAAGGACCTCAAATCTACCCTCCCTAATCCCTGGAGTTGCTCAAACTCCCAAGAAATGATTCATGAACTCAAAAGGGGACTACATAGAAAACCCTAGATCTATAAATGATAATGAAAACCAAGGAGAAAGCTTTTTACCTCCAAAAGCTTCCTAAGCTGCTTTAAATGCAAGATCCAGAAGCCTTTTCCTTATTCAAGCTTGCTTCCACTTCTTCCCTTTAGCTAACACACTAAGAATAAGATATTTGAGGCATATCACAAGCTCAAGAAACACACACTAATGATTTTAGGGTTTTAGGGACAATTGAGAGTGATGGAGGCTGGCTAGGGTGATGTCCAAATGACTTAAGGGTGCTTAAATAGGTCACAAGTACGAAAATTAGGGTTTAGCCATCAATCACAACGTACCCCTGTGTACCTTCACGTACGCCCCGCGTATGCGATTCTCCTTCGCGATCCTTCCTCCACAGTACGCTAAGCGTACACTTAAGTACGCCTAACGTACAAAAGGGACCCTTTTTCAAAACAATTTGATTTAAAAGAAGGAAATGTGATAACCTGGATTGGAGTGTTACACCTCGATAGCTAATGGATACGTCTCGATCTTTCCCGTTCCCATGAAAGGTTTTTGAGATTTTTTCCCCTGTAAAATTTGATTTCCGATTCTTCTACTTCTTGATTGCTTGCAATTCTTCCTCTGAATCTTACTGATTTGATTCTTCACATGGATTTTCCATTTGATTTTATTCACTGATTTTCGATTCTTTGATTTTCGATTATCCTTCCCGTTGATTTCCGATTTCACTAGTATACCCACTGTGCTCTCATTCTTCTTTAATTTTAATACCCCTCATTCAAGTTGATTTTGTAATTTAGAATCCGACTTAAATAATGATAGATTGTTCTTGATTTTCCATTTGTTCTTGATACTTGGTTGTTCTAAATTTGTCTTTGATGAAAAGGGTTAAGCTGGCATTCTGTCAGAATTTTCATGAAAATGGTTAAGTTAGGAGTTTTTTTTTTCATATCAGAATGCAAACACATGTTCATTCTATGAGAATATAAATATTACATAAAACATATGTTTTAGTAATTCTGACAGAATACATTTATACATGCTTTAGAATGTTTATGCATATAGAAGAAAGGACTATGATTTAAGTGCATTTTGTAATGTATTCTGTTAGAATTTATTTATATTAATGCATTCTGCTAGAATGTCTTTGAGAATGTTTATTAACATGTATATTTGTTTGACTGTTAATACTATGAGTAATGTATCTTATTCTTTCAAAATTGCATGGAGAAGGAATTCAGTATTCATCATACAAGAGAAATATTTGGAATCGAGTTCAACAACAAGTATATATGCGAAGGTCAAGTTGATTATATGGACCATTGAAGAGGATCAAGTGTATTTGTTCAACAATTGTATATTCAAGAATGCTATTTTTTAAAATTTTATTCATTTTTGATGATATTCTGTTAGATATGTATAACTATATTAAAATGTATAAGGATATTAGTGTGTAAGAACATGTATGATTTGTATTTAATTTCGGATGTGTATTAAGAAAAAAATCATAGACCGAAGTTGGATGTATATGAATAATATCTTATTCTTAAATCAGGTCAATTATCAAATATATCTGCATTGGAAATATATTCTGCTAGAATAAAATCGAAAATATTTTACTAGTTTATGGTTGGCATTCTGTCATTCTGACACAAGAAAATCGAATTTTTAAATTTTAAATAACTTAAAATATTCAGATTTTTAAAAAACAAAGGAATTAATTATCCCTTAAAATCTGAAAACTTCCTTTTTTAATATAGGTAAATTGACCAAATACCCTTATGCTGAAAATTGTGTGATTATATGGTGAATGTTAGCCTATTGTAATATATAGACTCTCAGATCATGACATTTGATTCTATTCCACCGGTGGTCTAGATCTGTGCATTTTGGCACACAATAGTTAGTAAACATAGTAACCTAAGCCATATATATTATATATATATATATATATTATATATATATATTATATATATATTATATATATAATATATATATATATTATATATATATATATATATATATATATAGGGTGAGGATCAAATATGAATCACAAATATTGTATGAATGTATAACCAAATTGTAACCATTAGATTAGAAAAAATTAAGGGTTTTGATCTTAGGGTACATGATATTATCATGTACTAGCATTAACTATATAATTTGGCTTAATTAATTATTGGACAAATATAACATTTTACTAAGAGAGAGAAATTATATTATCTATACTTTAGGCAACTAATTCAAGTTGATTAATAAAAATTAATGAAATCTTAGATTTTATTCACATATTAAAATTAAATAATATTTTTTAGAATACAGTTTTCATTCTGCACGTTCAATTTTTTTTCGAGGTTCATTCAAGATTTCTTTTTAGAATCAACATTCTTAAAGAATATGAATGCATATGTTGAAGAATAACCATGTGTATAAAAAAAAATTACAGATTACAAATGTAAGAATATAGAACTCGATACTGGTATATATTTCATAATCATGAGCATTCTTAAAATATAAAAATTGAATTGCATACATTCTCAAAATATGATTCAAGTACATTCTGTAGAATTAAAAAGAAACTGATGCTTAGAATATTATTGAAAGAATAAATACATTCTTGAAAGGAATACGAAACATTCTTGAAAGGAATGTGATATATTGTTGAAGATTAAATTGCATTATGAAAGAATACAAATTATAAAAGGATAAGCATTCTGACAGAATATAAGCAAAATTTGGTGATGAATACGGTTTGTGTTTTGACAATGTTGTTGGCTTGTCTATTGTTTCTTTGTCTAAGCAAGAGGGTGTTGATGGTTATATCTCCAATTAATATCAATTACCACATGCATCACCATCCTCTCATGCCATCTACTTGCATAAAAACACCGTTATCAATACTTCATCATTGCAAACAACTACCATCAACCATTGTTAATTCTTTAAGAATCATAATTCGTTCTTTAAGAATCGAAAGAGATTTCTTTTGTGTTAATGATTTTTTTTTAATTCTCACATCAATCTACAAAAATATCGAACATCAATTATATCTTTTTTCTTTCATACTTACAATAATTTGAAACAAAATAGTAATGACAATTGCTTTGAAACAAAAATAAGAAAATTCTCCAAGAATGTTTAGAAATAAACCTTTTTTTTGCTCATCAATAGTCATAATACTCGGTTATTTTATCATAAAATTCTACAAAAATGTTAACAATTAACCTTCTTTTATCCCTATCAGAGTTAATTCTTTATAATTTTGATTCCTTAAAAACATGTTGTTTAAATTGTAACAAACATGTAATTACATTCATTAGTTACATATTTTGTCCACTCTTTTCTATTTGGGATAATTTGTTGAAAATGATACTGAGAATATCAAAGCTTCTAAAAAAGAAATGTAGACATAATATTGAAAGAATTCCATAACATACATTTCAAACCATTAAAGAATATACACTTTGACTTTAAAGTCATTCACGTTATCCTTAAAATTGGAAATCAATAACATATTTGTTGGGATTAGAGTTTAGCCGTACATTTTTTTTAAATTTATCTTATAATTCGTATGAGGTGTTAGATTAACCCTTAGAGGGGTAAGGCTCAAAGAACGAAAAGGAAACAAGACAAGCTGAAACAATTTCTGATGTCCTTTTTTATTCATGAACTCCCAGTTTTAATAACAGAGACAAGTAATGCAAGAGAATTCAACGGAAGCATGATAGCTAATAGAAACATGGGATGCAATCTATTCCTAAATGCATGCATGAAATAAGGGAAGTGGTGGACTTCTTCAATCTTCAAAACATGTTGGGCTCTTGGTGATCCTTTTAGGTCTTTGGTAGCTTACTGGATTAGCTGCAGTGGGCTGAGACATTGGGCTCATAACATCACCCCATCCTGAGAAGCAATACATTGTCCTCAATGTTGGTGAAAATGGGAATTGTTTATGTTTTTTCGTGTAGCTTTCCCATGTTGCATCTTCCATTGGTTTGTTTTCCCCCATTTGATGAGTATTTCTTTGTTTCCCTTGTGGTCGGTTCTGGTTTGTAAGATTGCCTCTGGAAGTGTATCAACTTTGTCCATTTATTCAAACTCGTAAGGGTTTTCCTGTGATGAAGGATTGGTGGAACCATACGCTTGCTTGAGCATGATACATGGACAAGGTGAATGCGTGAGGTTGCTGGTAGACCAATTTATAGGCGACTTTTCCTATTCTCTCAGTGATCTTGTATGGCCCATAGAATCGACGTGCTAGCTTATTTGTCTTTTGGCCCCTTACGAGATTTCTGCCTATAGTCCTGGAGACGTATGTAAACAAGGTCGTCCACTTCGAATTCCTTGTCTGTCCGCTTCTTGTTTGCTTGCTTTACCATTCGATCTTGTGCCTTGTGATCGCTTCTTAAGATCGCTTATGATTCGTTGGTGTTCTAGTAATGATGAATCTATTGAGGCTGTTTTGTATTCTCGTGGAATGTAATCGTGAATTAAGATTAGGTCTCTCCCGTAGACTGCTTTGAATGGAGACATTTTGATGGCCGTGTGGTAAGAAGGATTGTAGGAGAGAATTTAGCCAAATAGATGTATTCTGCTCAGGCTGTCGGTTCGTTGAACACAAAAACACGTAGGTATGACTCAAGGCAATGGTTTACCACTTTTGTTTGGACTTCCGTCTGTGGGTGGTAGGCACTAGAATGGTTGAGTTTTGTTCTGAGCTATTTGAAAAGTTCTTTCCAGAATCTGCTTAAGAATAATGGGTCTCTATCAGAAATGATGGTTTTAGGTAAACCATGTAAGCGATAGATTTCCTTCATGAATATGGAAGCTAGTTGGATGGTGGTGTATTGTGTGGGAAATGGAACAAAGTGTGCGAAACTTGGACAACCTATCCACTACAACCCATATAACTGTCTTTCCTTTGGAATTGGGGATGTAAGTGACAAAGCCGATCAATATTTCTTCCCAAGTTGATTATGGTATTGGCAGTGGTTGGATTAAGCCAAATGGTTTATGCGTGGGGGTTTTGGTGGCTTGAAACACTTGGCAATTTCTTATGAACTCCGAGACATCTTTTCATAATTTGATCCAAGAAAATGCAGTTGATATGCGTTTGGTTGTGGCTGTGATACCCGAGTGTCCCCCCCAACGATGATGTGTGGAATTATTCGAGGAGGTTGTTGTGAAGGTTCTGAATTGGAGGGAACATGATGCGGTTGTGGTGATAGACTAAGCCGTCACGGATGGAGTGTTGTGTAAATGCTGCTGGGTCCTCGATAACCTGATCAACCAGTTGTGTACCCGCCTCATTGTGTTTGAAGTACTTCCTGATTTCGTCTAGCCATGTAGCTGTGGGATGTGAGATGACATGTATCGAGTGTAGTTCTACCCGGCTGAGGGCATGTGCGACCAAATTTCTTTCTCGGGTTATAATGGATCTCAAAATCATATCCCATTAGTTTTGTTACCCATTTGTGTTGTTTGAGTGTATGAATTGTTTGTGTGAGAAGATGTTTGAGGCTGTGGTGGTCTGTGTAGATTCGAAATGTCTTCCCAGTAAGTATTGCCTCCATTTTTTATTGCTTCTGTAATTGCGTACATCTCTTTAGTGGACTTGGATTGGTCCTGCACGGCAGTACATAGTTTCTTGCTGAAGAAGGATATGGGTCTGTTGTTTTGAGAAAGCACCGCACCAATGGCCATTCCGGATGCATCTGTCGTGACATCAAATTGTGATTCGAAGTCTGGTAGGGATAACATGATTAGGTCTTGCATTGCTGACTTGATTTGTTGAAAGGCTTCCTGTGTTGACGTGGACCACTCAAAGGTTTTGAGTTTGAGGATGTTAGTCAAGGGTGCATCGATTTTGGCATAGAAGGGGACAAAACGACGGTAGTATCCTGTTAATTTCAGGTAGGCACGAAGGGTGGTAAAAGAAGTGGGTTGCGGCCACTGTTGAATGGATTGTATTTTATCAGGTTCTGGGGCTACTCCATTTGCTGAGATTTTGTGCCCCAAAAACGAGATTTCGTGCATGGCAAACATGCATTTGGACGACTTTGCATGAAAATGGTGTTCTCTTAATTTTTCAAAGACTACCTGTAGGTGTTTGTAATGGTTGTCCATGGAAGAGCTGTAGATTAGGATGTCATCAAAAAAAACTAGGACGAACCGTCGGAGAGCTGGTTGAAATAAATCACTCATTGCTGATTGAAATGTCGATGGAGCGTTGGTGAGGCCGAACGACATTATGGTGAACTCGTAGTGGTCATCTATCGTACGAAACATAGTTTTATGTATATCCTTCTCTGCTACCCAGATTTGTGGTAGCCTGAACGCAAGTCTATCTTAGAGAAGACTGTTGCTCCATGCAACTCATCGAGTAGTTCGTCGATTGTGGGTATCGAAAAGCGGTCTCATACCGTTACTGCATTAAGTGCTCTGTAATCTATAGAAAATCGCCATGATCCGTCTTTTTTCTTGACTAATAGGACGGGTGATGAGAAGGGACTTTGACTGGGGCGTATGACACCATTTTGGAGCATTTCTGTGATTAGACCTGTCATTATTTTTTTTTGGTACTGTGGGTAATGGTAAGGTTTTACATTAACTGTGGTGTTGGGTTTGTTAAGGGAATGGTGTGGTCGTGGGGTCTCGGTGGTGGTAGTGAGTTGGGTTCAAGGAAGATATCTGTAAATCGTTGGAGTAGGGAGTTTATGATCGGGTTGCAGTGGTTGTTCTTGAGTGGTGTTCGTGGTTGGTTCAAGTGATGTGTGACTGTAATTAAGTGTGTGTAACGAAACATGAAGGGTTTTGAGCATTCTAACACTCCTAAGGTGTACATGCAACCCTAAATGCTTTGGATCTATGTTTTCTCTATATACATGCAAACTTTTAATATTCCAAAGCATCATCCTAACTAGCATAGAATGGTGTATCTCTAATATAAAATTCTAGTTAGATGACATACCTTTTGTTATAGCTTGCTATCCTTGATGTATTTGTCGTTTAAGAATTTAGCACCAAAAGTGTGAATGCCTCAAATGGAATCACAACACACCTAGGACAAAGGATAACTTGAGAGAGAATGGCTTGCTCTAGAAATCGGCTCTATGAATCTTCCAAAGATCACTAGTCCATTTCACCAACCAAGGGGTTTCTTATATAGTGTGGAAAACTAGGGTTACACCATTTAAACCCTATTGACTTTCCATATCCCTCATGATCCATTGGTTAAAACCTCCATGGAGTATCCATGGGTCCCCACATGGGTTTATGTAAGGGTCAAAATGTTGTAATTAGTCGAAGTGTATTTTTCACTCTTTGAATGTTTTGTAATCTATTTTACTAAGGCGCTTTTATTCGAAGCTTAAGTGTCTATGCCTTAGTATATTTTTTGTACGCTTTCTGTTCCCTATAAATAGGGATATTTACTAGAGTTAGATAAGAGTTTTTACAGACCTGTCTTTGTACTCTGTAAACATTCGAAAGCGTAATAGAGCTCAAACAAGATCATATTTACATTCGTTGTTCAATCTCACATTCTTACTTCTTACTTCATTTTTTACTCTGATTCATTTTATACTCGATTCATTGTTTCATCAATTGGTATCAGATCAGGAATCACATCTGTGATCTGATTTTCACCTATTCAAAAAGTTTTTGAATCAACTTTTAGGTTCAAAAGATTCCACACTTTTTGATAGTGGAAAAAAAAATTTGTCTAGATTTTAGTTTGTGATTCGATTCGGCATTTGAATTGTTGAATCGAGTGTTCTTCTTGTAATTCCGATTTGATTCAACTAGTTTGTTTTCAAATTTCCAAATTTTCTTTAAAATTTTCAAAATCATCTTCCGTACAACAATAGTGAGCTTCAATCTCAATTCGATGACCTCGTTTTCTCATATGTTAGGATCATCGACCAAAATTCCAATGCTAATCCCTAAATATTATGATCAATGGGCTGATCGTATGCAGGATTATCTGAATGGTCTTGATGAAGAATTATGGTCATGTATCACTGGAAATGTCAATGTTCCAGTGAATGTTCAAGCAATTGGATCATCTTCTGCAAGTTCTGGTGTTGAAAATCAAACTGATCGTTTGAAGAAACTGGAGAAGAGATGTATGAGGGAATTGCGAGGAGCTTTACCTCCAGTTGTGTACAATCACGTAAGGAGTTGTACAACTGCTAAAGAGATCTGGAACAATCTGAAAGATAAGTTTCAAGGAAGTGAGAAGACGAAAATCAATTCAGTCAAACAATGTTTGGTCGAGCTGAAAGATTTCAGACAAAAAGAAGGTGAAACAATTGAAGTCTAATATGATCGTCTGAACGAGTTAATATATCGTTGCAATCGCTATGGAATTACCAGGACTTCAATGGAATTCAATCTCATCTTTGTGATGGGTCTTCGAAAAGAATGATGATTTATACGAAGATGCACCTTGGACTTTGATCCAGAATATCCGCCAATGGAAAAGTGGACAAGAGATCATCCGAAGGATCAAGTAATTGGGAAACTACAAGAGGGTGTTTTAACATGAGCTCAAATTCATGCAAAGAATGAGGTATTGAATACTCATCAAGAATTTTGCATGTTCAATGTTTTTCATCTCTAAAATTGAACCAAAAACAGTTAAGGTTGCAATGGAACACTCAGATTGGGTTGTTGCGATGCAATCTGAATTGTCTGAATTTTAACGAAACAAGGTTTGGAGATTAATTCCTAAACCTGAAAATGTTTCGATTGTCGGGTTAAAATGGATTTTTAAAAACAAACCGACCAAGATGGAAATATCGTTCGACTATGAAGAAACTTTTGCCCCTATTGCAAGACTCGAGGCTGTTCGTATATTTCTGGCTTATGCAGCTCACAAAGACTTTGATGTTTATCAAATGGACGTGAAGTGTGCATTTTTAAATGGAGAACTTGAAGAAACAGTTTATGTGGAACAACCCCCAGGTTTTATTAATGAAGAACATCCTGATCATGTTTATATTTTAGATAAGGCAGTTTATGGTTTAAAACAAGCACCACGAGCATGGTATGCAACTCTTACTTCATTTTTAAAGCAATCTAAATTTAAACAAGGATCTGTTGACCCCACATTATTTCGAAAGAAAGTTGGGAATCATCTAATGTTTGTTCAAATTTATGTTGATGATATTATTTTTGGCTCAACTGACCCTGCTTTGTTTAGAGAATTCGAAGATCTGATGAAAAGTAAGTTCGAAATGAGCATGATGGGAAAAATCAATAATTTTCTTGGACTGAATATTCGTCAAAGCGGAGAAGGAATTTTTATTAATCAAGAAAAATATACGAAGAATCTTCTAGAGAAGTTTGGATTGACGAATAGCACAAAGTTAAGAGTTCCTATGGCAACTGGCATAAAGTTGACACCTTCGTTAGATAAACATGCAGTTGACCTAACTCTTTACAGGAGCATGATTGGTTCATTACTTTATCTTACAGCAAGTAGACCTGATATCATGTTCTCTGTGTGTAATTGTGCTAGGTATCAGTCAAATCCACGAGAACCACATCTCACTGTTGTGAAGAATATCTTTCGTTATCTTAAAGGAACAATTTCGTTAGGATTGTGGTATCCTTCGAAAACTGGGTTCTTTGTACAAGCTTATTCGGATGCCGACTTGGGTGGTTGTAATCTTGATAGAAAAAGCACAAGTGGAGGATGTCAATTTCTCGATGGCAAATTGGTGAGCTGGCAGTCGAAAAAGCAAACATGTGTATCAATTTCAACAACTGAAGCAGAATATGTGGCTGCTGCTTGCACATCACAAATTATATGGATCCAAAGTCAATTGCGTGATTATGCAATTAATATGAAAAAGATTCCATTATATTGTGATTCTCAAAGTGCAATAAGAATTTGTCATAATCCTGTGCAACATTCGAAGACTAAACATATAGCTCTTCGTTATCATTTCATCAAGGATCACGTGGAGGATGGAAATACTGAAGTACATTTCGTGAAAACAACTGATCAGTTAGCTGATATTTTCACGAAACCTTTAGATGAAAAATCATTTGTAAAAATTTTAGAAGGACTTGGAATGATCGATGAAAATTTTGTTCCATGCGAAAAAGGAGAATGATGGTTGACCTGGAATGATTCAGAGGCACTGAATAAAAGACAAAGCAAAGTCATTCAGCGTTCAGAGGTTACAGTTCATAGTCAACGCTTCGACCCTTCGAATTCGTAGATTTATCACTTTTCAAGGGTTGATAAAATTTCATGTTTTTGCAACAAGTACATTTCGTTTGTAATTTAATTTTTTGAAAAATTAAAAAAATCCAAAAGATTTTCGTTTGTTTTGTCATTTAATTTTTGAAAAATTAAAAATCCAAAAAGATTTTCGTTTGTTTTGTCATTTTAACTTTCGAATAATTAAAACTCCAAAAAGATTTTCCTTTGTTTTGTCATTTTATTTTCGAAAATTTCAAAAATTCTGTCTTCATTTTCGAAAAATCAAAATCAAAAAGATTTTCTCTTTATTTCGTTCTTTATTTTCGAAAAATCAAAACAACAAAAATATTTTGTTTCTTTTTTTCTTTTTAGTACTTTTTGCAGATATTCATGATGATACAAAGTGGATAATTCTTGTAGTACTAGGGTCAGGTAAATCTATCTTACGAATCTTGAAATTTTTGAATATTTTGAACTAGTTAAGTTGTCCCTAGAAGCATGCTGCAGCATGTTGTCCAAAGCCTCCAATGACTCAATGTGTGTGTACAAAAGCCTTAATGAAATATTTCATATGAAAATTTCTTCCCAATCAGACTTGTATTCACATTAGTCTCCTGAGGTACCTGACTCTTCTCACAATGAGTTAAGAGTTTACTGTTTTTGTCCAAAATTACAGAGGTACATTTCGTGTCTTTCATCCATCTTTTTCATCTAAAAAGTTCTTACACGATCACACACGAAGACATATGTCCGAGAGGTCTCTGATCACACCAATCGAGACTTAGACATATCAAAAATTTGTGTTCATGATCTGACATCA